GGCCCACTCCCCTCCCCCACCGGTCAACGCCCACCCCATGCAAACCCGCTCTAAGGCCGGTGTTTTCTGCCCAAAACAAATCCTAGACCTCCATGCCACCACCTCCATCTCCTCTTTACCCCCAACTTACCGTAGTGCTATGAAAGATCCAAACTGGCATGCTGCTATGTGTGATGAATATAATGCTTTGTTAAAGAATGAGACATGGGAACTAGTACCCCCCTCCCCAACCAAAACACAATCACCGGTAAATGGCTCTTCCGACACAAATTTGGCCCATCCGGTGAGTTATCCAGGTATAAGGCCCGATGGGTGGTCCGCGGATTCAATCAGCGTTTTGGCGTTGACTACAGCGAAACTTTCAGCCCCGTCATCAAGTCTGCCACGGTCCGAATCGTCCTTAGCCTCGCGTTGTCTTGTGGGTGGCCCATCCATCAGCTCGATGTCAAAAATGCCTTCCTCCATGGACAGCTTCAGGAAACCGTGTATGCTAGCCAGCCCTCCGGATTTCATGATGCAAATCGTCCTCATCATGTCTGCCAGCTCAAGAAAGCTCTTTATGGTCTAAAACAGGCACCCCGGTCATGGTATCACAGATTTGCAGGTTTCATTCAGACTATTGGATTTCGCAACTGCAAATCTGACACCTCTCTCTTCGTCTTCACGCATGCCTCGGGGACCGCCTACCTCCTATTATATGTTGATGATATTGTCCTCACTGCCTCCTCGCCAGGGCTTCTTCAGAGTCTCATTCAGAAACTCAAGGCTGAGTTTGCCATGACAGACATGGGTGATCTGCACTTTTTCCTCGACATTAATGTTCATCGCACTGCTCAGGGCCTTTTCCTCCATCAGACACAGTTCACTCACGACATCCTTGAGAGGGCAGGGATGGTCTCCTGCCGCCCCATATCCACTCCAGTCGACACAAAGGCTAAGCTTTCTTCCTCCTCCGGCACGACACTTCCAGATCCTTCTCTTTACAGGTCCATCGTAGGTTCTCTACAGTATCTCACATTCACCAGACCTGATATCACTTATGCCGTTCAGCAGCTCTGCCTCCACCTTCATGCGCCCCGCGACTCTCACCTCACGGCCATGAAGAGAGTTCTCCGTTATCTTAGCGGCACCGCCACTCACGGTATCTACCTGACTCGCTCCTCGACAGACTATCTCCAGGCTTATTCTGATGCTGATTGGGCTGGCTATCCCGACACCAGACGTTCCACTTCCGGGTACTGTATTTTTCTAGGTGACAACCTGATTTCCTATTCTTCAAAACACCAGGCCACCACTTCCCGCTCCAGTGCAGAGGCAGAATATCGGGCTGTGGCAAATGCAGTTGCTGAGACTTCTTGGGTCCGAAATCTTCTTCTTGAGCTCCAGCAACCACTACGACGCGCCACCCTCGTCTTCTGCGACAACGTCAGCGCCGTCTATCTCTCATCAAACCCAGTTCAGCACCAGCGCACCAAGCACGTTGAAGTCGACATACACTTTGTGCGAGACAAAGTCGCACTCGGCCATATCCGAGTCCTTCACGTGCCCTCTTCTTCACAGTATGCTGACATCTTCACCAAAGGACTACCTTCTCTACTCTTCCTCGAGTTTAAGTCCAGTCTGGGTATCAGACCCCCTCCTCATCCGATGTAGCCGGGAGCATGTTAAATATATTCTATATTTAATGTAAATATATTGTTTCCTATTATTGTCTCCTACCTTGTATAGGATTAGGAATATATTGTTTCCTATTATTGTCTCCTACCTTGTATAGGATTAGGAATCTTTGTGTATATATAGACATGTACTCCCACATATTCAATCAATGAAATTAACCTTTCTACAGTTTTGAGGTTACAGACATAGTAATTTGTGGATTGGGAATGGGGATCTACCATATGAGAATAAGAACAGAGAATTAGGTCACCGCAGGAAGCATCTACTGATAATCTGTGTTGATTGGGACAAGGAAGAAACCTGAAATTAAGCCACTTGTGATCCATTACAGGGTGGTGTGTATCGGATCTATGGCGGCGGAGAACAAGTAAAGCGCGGGCGTAGTGATTGATTAAGCCGTCGTGATAATTGAACTGGATTAGGAGCGTGTAAGAGGGCGAATCTGGACCGGGGACCGGCGGGAGGGACGGATCGTGACGGCGGTGATTGAAAAAGGCGGCGAAATAAGGAGAAGAGATTAGGGAATACCAGCGCTTGCAGACCTGTTTGAACCGGACGGCGGCTCGGGGAGGGAGCCTTGCGAGGACTTCGAGTAACAGGCCGTCGCTGTTCAGCAAGCGGGAGCTCCTGCTCTCCATGCGAGGACACCTGACCACAACATCCATGGCCGAAGAAACTCTCTCGAGAAGAAGGCGTCGAGCTTCGAAATTCTCACAATTGGTTATTTGGTTTCTGGCGGGGGACGGCGCGTTTATATGTTTGGTAAGAAGAGCAAGTATTCTAATTCATGTGGAGTTCAATTTATTTTGTTCGTTTATTTACAATATCAAATTTATAAAATAATATTCATATTATCTTTTAGTTTTGTAGATCTTTTAATGTAATTTTTTAATACGTAAATTTTATATTTTTTTAATCTCACACCATTTTTCATGCGATAAAAAAACTAAACTAGAAGTAAAACATTGAAAATATATCAAAATAGGATTTCAATGTTTTATTCCTGAAATAGGAGTTAAAATTCATTTACATTACCAGCCATTGTCATGTTCATTACCAAAAATTATAGTAATATGCATATATACAGTGTCACGTTACCACAGTGTGAACTCCTATTTCGGAATAAAAACATGGAACTCCTATTTTGATACTTTTTCTATGTTTTAGTCTTGTTTAGGGTGATTTTTTTAACATATAAAAAAAATCTAAATTTAAAAAAAAACCTATAAATTCCCCCCTTTCTCACACATTTCTCTCACACATTTTTCACTATCTTCTCTCTAAAATATTTATTATTTATTATAAATATTTATAAAATATATTTTAAAAATGGGATCATCTTCATCTCACTAATTAGTGATTTCTTTGTAGTATTGTTTTTTTATGTAATATTTTTTTAATGAATGTACTTTTTTTTATGAATGTAATTTTTTTAATGAATGTAATTTTTTTATGAATATATTTTTTTTATGAATGTAATATTTTTTTAATGAATGTAATTTTTTTAATGCACTAGTCTCATTGCGATTAATTTAAATAATAAATTAATTTAAATTTATTAATTTAAATTTAGAAGATGTATATTTAAAAATGTAAAAAATGAAGGTTTGAAGCCCCAGTTTGAAGCCCCGGGCCTTCAAACCCATTTCCAGTGAACTTTTGGTGTAAGTTAAAGCTGGCGTGGCAGAGAGAGAAAGTGTGAAGCCCCGGGGCTTCAAACGTATTTCCAGTCCTCTTACTTCGGTTATTAAAGCATGACCTAAAAAGATTTTCCCTCCGTCCCAAATTATTTGTCACATTTCTATTACCGAGACAAAATATCAAGTTTTTTCAATTCATTTTATTTACATATTGGTAAAGAAATAAAAAATAAAAATTACATATAAAAAAACTATATGAAAAATTTTTCGAAATAAGAGGTGTCAAAAATATTTTATTTTATCAAATAACCAATGAAAACGTAAAAATAAACAAAAGTTCTTGCGACTGTTGAAAAAGCAAATGTGGCAAATAATTTGGGACGAAGGGAGTATAATAACGAGTGAGATTTGCGAGTCATAAATCAAGACCCGAATGAGCATTAGAAAGTTGTGTCAATTTTAGTTTTGTTAGACTCCGTAGTTGATGATTAGTTTTAGTCTTTTAGATAACAGAGAATATGAGTGATTGGAGTAAAAAAAAGAGGCCAAAGAGCTTCGGTGCCCCTTGTCATTTGGAAAATTGACACCAAAATCCCCTCTGTTTTCAAAACTTATTTCTAAAGTACCCGTGGTTTCAAAATGTTGCATCCACACCCCTTCTAATCATTTTCCGGCCATTTTCCGGCGAAGATGAGGGTATTGACGTATAATTTCTAAACCATAGGGGACATTCGTGCTCATTTCTTATTTTAGTTTATTATTTGTGTTTTCCTTTTTTTTTAAATATTTTGTATCTCTTTTTCCTTTTCCTATATTTTTTTAAATATATTTTCAATTTTTATAATGTTTTAAAAATTTTAAAATTCTTTGTGTTTGAAATAAAAATAAAAATAAAAAATTAACATACATTACATCTATCTCAAATTAAAAAATTTCACTTTTTTTTAGAATATTTTTTTGGAAAGTTCGAAAAAACCCAGAGTAAAAAAACTAAAAATACGGAAAAACAAAATTAAAAAAAATTAAAATACGCAAAAAAAGTCTTATACAAAAAATTTTTGGACACGCCTAAAAAAGTCCTTAGAATTGAAATGTCCAAAAAAGATATTCATTTTAATTTTTGTATTATTTTTTTCTTATTTTATTCCTCATTTTTTCAAAATTCTCAAAAAAAAAAATCTTTTTTCAGAAAAAACAAAAATTGTTAATTTCAGACGTATATATGCATTATATTTTATTTTTTCAAACAAAAATAACTTTAAATTTTAAGAATATTATAAAAAAATTAAAAAAACCCTAATTAATGAATTAAACAAAAAAAAGGAAAAATGGAAAAAACAAAAAATAAACGAGAAATAAAAATCAGCACTAATACACCATATGGTTTAGAAAATATGCACCAATGCCCCCTTCTTCTCCGGAAAAATGGCTAGAAAATGATCAGAGGGGGCATGGATGCACCATTTTGAAACCACGGGGATTTTAGAAATAAATTTTGAAAATAGAGATGGTATTAATGCCTGTTTTGCAAAGCACGAGGGGTACCAACGCTATTGGCCTAAAAAAAGAAGGAGACATTTGTCCAATAAGGAAAAGGACAACTTTCAAACTACCTAACAAAAAAGCAAACACATGAAAAATAAATTGTGGTAAAAATGTAAATCAGCAAATATCTCTACAATCACTTAATTAATTTAAGGGTCAAATATGTTTTTGGTGTTGTAAAATGAGTGATTTTTTTTCTTTTTGGTTCATCTAAAAAAAATTATCTCCCACATTTCAAAAAAAAAAGTGGAGCTAATATTAGATATGTTTTTAATCCCCATAAATTATTTTGTTCTTTATAATTTTTTAAGCTCCATACTTGTGGGAGAACCCATTGAAAAAATACAGGGATGAGTTAATTAAAAATATCCGAAAAATTTTGCATGTGTTCCGATCTCCCTATTCTGATACGTATCCTTGTCAAAATCTTTAATCTCAATCTTCATTTGTGGCCGATGCACAACCCTGTGACTCTGTGAGGCCTATATCAGATGGTATTATTTTAATTTTAAATTGGAAGGAGAAGAATAGAGGTGGCAATCGGATCAACTGGATCGGTTTCGGATTGGATTTTTTCGGTTCGGATATCTTTCGGTTATATGTTATAATCGGTTCGGTTCAGTTCGGATCGATTAAATTTCGGGTCGGATTTGATTTCGGTTCTATACATTTTTCGGTTCGGTTCGGATTCGAGTCGGTTCAGATAAGGTTCGGTTATAAATCGGTTCGGATAAATTTCGGCTCGGATATAATTTGAGTCGGATATATTTCGGTTTCGGGTCTAGTTTGGTTCGGATATATTTCGGTTTCGGATCAAATATATTTTGGATATATATTATTTTCTAATTAAAATTTAACTATTTGTGTTTCTTTTTATGTTTTATCACATTTATCAATCTATCATCAATTCAATACCTCATATTATTATATTTTTTTTTCTAGTTATATTATCTCTACCCTAAATAATCTTCCCTTTTTGACTTTTTAGTCACATTTTACAAATTTGGACTACAAATTATGAAAACATATATATTTAATTATGATATAAATTTAATATAATTAAATTGATTTTAAAATTTCGTTTTGAAATATCAAATTTTTCTCACATCTACTACTCCGTAATATATTTATGTACATAAATGAAAGGATAAAAGATAAATTCAAATAGTCTTAAGTTCCATTTGAATACAATGTGGTAAAAATTGAGTGAAATTAAGTGAATTTTATTCAATTGAGTGCAAAATTTGTAAATTATTGAGTATATTTGGTTGAAAATAGAGAAAATTAAATTTAATAGAGTCAAATATAATTAATTTTACACCTAAATGTAATGATGTAGATCAAATTTGAAAATGATAACAGCAAAGGCTGCCGCTAGAGAGTCTTTTCAAAATGCTGATACTAGCATCTAATTTTGTTGACTAATATTGAGTGAATTGGTTTGAAACTAATCAAATTAACTCTCAAATCAATAAAATTTATTGTAATGAGATGAAATTAGGATAAAATCTAGTTATTCCATACAATTCATCATATATTTCTTTCGTCCCAAAAAGAATATCACACTTCACTATTTAAAAATTACGGAAATTTTATTTGTTTGTGCATTATCATTTATATGTATAACTTATCTTTAATTTCTACATATAACAAATTTAAGGCATAAAATTTTGTACTTTTTTTCAAGAAGATAATCAATTTTATGAGGGAATGAGCAAGTAATGTAATTAGTTCAAATGGTAAAATAAAAGTAAAAATTTAAAAATATAATATGCTTATCGAAAGGCAAACATAGTTCTGAATTTATCGATTTCAGTTCTAATCGGGTTCGGATATTATCGGTTTCAGATCTAATCGGTTTCGGATTTTATCGGTTTCGGGTATTATCGGGTTCGGATATAATTGGTTTCGGGTTTAATCGGTTCAGATACTATCGGTTTCAGATTTAAATCGGATATGAATTATTTATTTCGGTTTCGGTTCGATTCGGATCATTTCGGGTTTTCGGTTATAGATCGGATCTTCATTTTTCGGGTCATTCCGATTTCGGTTTCGGATATTTCGGTTCGGGTAATCGGTTCCGGTTCTGTTTTGTCAGGTCTAGAGAAGAACATAGTAGTATGTATTCATTTAATTTTATTGGATATCAAATTTGAGTATGGGCCTTCGTAGTTGTTTAAAATCTGTATTCATTAGATATCGAATATATTCGCATTCGGTTCTAGATTTTTAAAGTCAAATTAAACTATGAGGTATATATAGAAGAGAAATTTACTCAAATAGCACAAAAACATAATGACTTTCCCTAAATAGCACTACATGTGTTTTTCATCCCAATATAACACTTTTAGTCATTATGCATTAGTCATTATTCTAGTAAATATTCTTCATCACTGGTCATTATAGACATTATTAAATGCTACTTAGGAAATAAAACAATTTAAGTGCTATTTAGAGAAATGACTTAAGTTTTAGTGCTATTTAGTGCAAATATTTCTATATAGAAATTCTAATGATATCATTATTCAATCGTAATTGCTAATTAGGGATGTCAATTTCCACATGACCCGATAGATACTTGCATCATCTCATCCACTATAACGGATGAAAACCATAAACAATATGAATAATAATGGATGATGGATGAATTGGGTCACAGACGAGTCTAATGCAGGTGACTATTGGTATATAATCACCTAATTACTTATTCAATATTTATTGTTTATTAAGTTTATTTTAGTACAACGTTATCATTTGGAGTTGATATTTATTTCAAAAGAGAATATATACTCCCACAGAATTTTCATGAAATGGGAATGACAACAAAGTTTGGAAGAACAAATAATCATAAATAATTATGGGATGAAAAAAAAGGTGGTTAATACGTAAGATCATCTAAAGAGGCTCTAAAAACGGTGAACAAATAGCAAATACCTTCAGAAATTGTCCCCTGCTTGCCCTTGACAATATAGGGTGCAACACACCTTGGTTTTTATGAGAACAAATAATCAAAACAATGAAGACAGACATGGTCTTGTAGCAACCACCCTACATGTTTTTTTGTACAAAAGCTGCTTATATAATTGAATTGTGGAAAGAATTGGCGTTCTAACAAGGATCGGGAAATGAACATTGGGAGGCAAAAGCATGCAGAATTGTCTACTTGAATGTCGAACGAAGAAGTTTTGTTTTACACACGAACTGTTCCCACAGAATATAAATCTCCATTTCAGCTCGAGCAACAACCGGACTTCTGATTGACAGGCTCTCCTACGATCCGCACAGTAGGGGGCCGTGCATTGTTTAATGTGGGTTGACTTGCCATTCTACAAAATCAGATCAAACCAAAGAGGTATTGTTGTTACACATTCAAGACAATCACTACGACGGGTTGCACTTTTCTCATCCATTAAGATAGTCAGACATGTATACATTTCGGGACGAAGAGAGGAAATACTGCTTAAAGCAAAACAGATTCAGTAGTTCCCAGTCAAGGGTAGGGGGGTTGGAAAGGATTAGAGAAGAAAAAGCAAATAAGCCTTTAAAAAGAGGCTAATTAGTAAATATATCTGCCTATCCGGGATTTTTGGTCAAATAACCAAAATGAATGATCCATTTTGGTTACAAATACAGCCATTGCAGCGTCAAATATTATGCTAATATTCTGTGATTTCCGTCCAAAACACTAATATGACTGTTACCATTAGATTCTACATTTTTCAGTGTTACGGGTACCTTTCACAAACACAAAAAAGATGTGTGTAACAGAAATGTAGTCATACCTATCCTTAATTGAAGCTGTCATGGCCATGAATGCTGACTCCACATTGGTTGCATCTTTCGCACTCGTCTCCAAGAACGGAATCCCGATCTCGTCAGCAAATTCCTGCACCCATAACAATTTGATTAACACAAAGCCACGATCACCTTAATCACAAACATGGGAGGTGAACAAGAAAATTACCTTAGCTCTCTCATAGGTCACGACCCTCTGCGTATTTAGATCACACTTATTCCCAACAAGAAGCTTGTTTACATTATCACTTGCATACCGGTCAATTTCACTCAGCCATTGCTTGACATTATTAAAACTATCTTCATCAGTTACGTCATAGACCACCTGAGACAAATTGCAGAAGGACACTGCCAGAGTCATTACATGAAAAACAGCACTAAAAATGCTAAGTGGAATAAACATAACGTACAATTATGCCATGAGCCCCACGATAGTAACTGCTGGTAATTGTCCTAAACCGTTCTTGACCAGCTGTGTCCCACTGCAGATAACAAGGTAGGGGAAATATAGGTTGAGCTCAAACAACTGTCTGGTGAAATATATCATAGGGGAAAAAAAGAGAGGAACAAGATACAAAGTGGATGAGCTCAATGACGCCAAATGTGGTAAGTAGTACTTACAATTTGGAGTTTAATGGTTTTCCCATCTTGTTCCACTGTACGGATTTTCTATATAAAATAGATAAAAGGGAGTTCAGCACCTACTATAAATGGAAATAAGAAAGTTCTGTAAACTTGCAAACTTGTAAAGTCACTTACAAAGTCTACACCAATGGTACTGATGTAACTCTCGAGATATGAATCATCCTATAGTGATAAGACAGAAGAAAACCAATCAAGGAACACAATTACACACTCAGTTTATAAATATTTTGTCAGTTCGCACTTTTATTAACACAATAAGAAGAAAAGTTGAATGGAAATCAAATTGATACAACAAAAGCACGGCTGAAATCGCTAAATACACATGATAATCACAATCACATTTGTCCGTGGTGTCATAGTGGTTCGATTTGTTGACATTAACATTTTGTAAACAAATCTAATCCAGTAGCTGCAAGATGACTTGTGCAAGATGGAAATTCCATGTTATCATTTTTTTCTCCAGGTAAAAGAAAATAAAATGCTGTTCTATTAAAGAACACATTTAACCATCGTCATCATCAACACCACAATCCCAAGTAGTTGAGATTAGTAGCATGAAAGCATGTCTCAATATTGTAAAGATGGTCTGACATCCACATTTGCATAGGAAATTAGGAACTTGTAGAGGCAAAACTTACAGCAAACCTCAGAAGAAGACAGGATTTGCCAACACCTGAGTCTCCAATTAGCAAAAGCTTAAAAAGGTAGTCGCTGCACATGAAATGCATCAGAATCAGTGTATGGGGAAATTGAAAGCGTGAAGAGAAGAAATGTTTGCTTTTCAGGATCAAAATTCAAGAAAAAAAACAAAGTAGAACTTTCCAATACGTTCACATGAAAGCTCAACTAGGCTGTTAATCTACACCTATATGAAGTATAAAACCAATAGAACCTGATACCAATCTATCACTCAAACAAGTTAAGGTATGATAGCTTATCCTAGACAAATCCACTGAGCTATTAGATATGCCATATTAAACAAATGAAAATTATTTACTTTGTTCTAAAGTGGTAAAATTGTAACCAATAGCTAGAACACATGACATATTGCATATAGAGACATAGAAGCAAAAGATCCCAAGAGAGTTTAAAAGCATTTATTAACAGCAAAACAGAACTTGATCGCATCATGTTATGTTTTTATAAGCTACTCCACTCTATTTCAAGTGTGCATGCCTAAGGAGAGGCACCAAAAGAGAGTTGAGTTCTAAAGGCATCAATTCATCAACAGAAAGGATTCACTTGAGATTTGAAGTAACCAATTGATAATTGATTATAAGAATGTAGTGTTCAACTATGATTTCAGATATCTCTATTCTTACAATTATTTATTCTCATCCACAACAGACGCTATGAGTAAAGCAACAACAGTAAGCCATTTCTGAGAACTGGACAGTGAAACATAGTTGATTAATTAAAATCATAGCTTCTAAGGGAACTAGTTCAAAACTAATAGCCAATAATAACATGCTCAGAAGCTTTGTGCACCTCGTTTACAAAAAAATATCCCCCAGAAACACAGATGATTTCCTTGGCACATTTGATTCTCAGCACCTAAAAGGCAGTAACTTGAGTCTTATTGAAAACCAAATTATATCATCCAAAGAGCTTACAACAAGAAGCTAATCTAAAAGCAAGAAAAGGTCAGACAAAACTAGCTCCCGCGGAGACGAGAGCTATCCATGCCGGAATTGCACAAAATGGACAAACAATTGTAGTTGATCGGTCCCGAAACATGATTACAGCACCGATCTCTTCCGTGAAATCGAATCAATGAAACGATTACAAATTAAAGCCTCAGCGCTGGATAACTCAAAACGCCTAGAATTTCCAGGAAATTCACTCAGAGAACCAGATGAATCTTTACGAAAAGCAACGATAGATCTGACCAAACTTCAATATCTGAAAAATATATTTATGCCTTACTATTCCGGATTCATGGCTGCGGCAAGGTTCGAGATCGGAGCTGCTGGATTGAAGATCGGAGCTGCTGAATTTTGATACTTTCCAACAAGAACAAATAGGATTCTTAAAGTCGTCGCCAGATGCGAGAAGAACGAAGAGAGGAAGAAGCTTCAACGAAAGAGATCGAAGACAATTCCAGCAAGGCCCCCAATGCCTTCAAACGCGAACGGTAAGAAATGGGTTGAATGTACTCCCGGTAGAAAGTTTAGGTGGATCTTTTTCTTTTTTTTTTTGTTTTTGAATACTCGTGGCGAGAAATGAAAGATCATGACATTAATTTCGAAATCTTGATAGAAATTAGTCTTCATTTGCCAAATAATATTTTGAATAAAAAAAGTGAATTAATTTCAAAAATTTACTTTATATATCTCTACTCAATTCTCTCCGCTGTTAGTTTAGACCAAAAATACTTGCAATCATATCACCCTTAGGCCACATCTCCATTTAATTTACAATATTCAACAATTTACATATATAAATTACAAAAAAGACGCAACAACTTAAAGTCTTAAACAACACACATTATTAAAATAAAAACAAAATACATATGGTTGAAAAAAATTACAAAAAGACAACTTAATGTTAGAAAACATTATTGTGTGTCCAAATTAAGAAGTGATATGACTATTTCAATTTATCAAATGAGCAATGAAGATAAACGCCAAAATTTGGCCTACTGAACAAGAGAGTCTTTTAGAGGTGGAGGGAGTATTTGATCTGCAGGTTGCAAGTCTTTTTAACCGGAACTTCATTTATTAAAGAAACAACGATGCTATGAGAATACCGAGTGTGACGCCACTGTTTCTCAAAGGAACAAAGAGACAGTTCTCTTCAAGATTTAAAACTTATTTCAAGGAAAAGTCGTGCTAGGGTATCCAAACAATTTGTAGTTATCATGATCTCATGCTTTGTACACACAATAATTGTCAGTGTGCATGACAATGCAAAGCATGAGATCAAGTTAACCCCAAAATGTTGATGTTACCATAGCTCTATTCTTCAATGAATTACATGCACATCATTATACGGTAGTATTTCCCCATATTTCTATGAATTTATAAGCTTTTAAGAAAAGAACACAACCAAACTGTGGAGGCCCCTTTCATGAAGTTCCCTTCAGGCCTCAAAACTTATATGTTCTCTAGTCACGAGAACTCGGACGAGAGGCCAAAAGAATATCACGACAATCGACCCCTTTTTTGTGAAGAAATGCATAATCAAAACTTACATAGCCGGTGAAGCACTTATATGGCAAAATTTGATGTTCAAATGAGTGCTCAACTAGAAAAATCATTGAGCCTAAGACATTTTACAAAGCCATGTACATCATCCACTTCATGTAGAGCCATAAATAAACAAGAGACGTAGAGACTATATGTACTCCGTACATTACAAAAATTGACGAGAAAATTAACAAGTCTGAAGAGGGCCAAAAAGTCTCCAAACACATTTGAGTTTCACACTCTTGGAGTCATTGGAGAAACATCCGGCTTTGCTTTGATGCCATAAATAAGACCCATCCTGAAACGACTATCTATCATTGTGCAAAAGTGGTTCAGATGATGAACCTGCACACATTTATGAACAATTTGTAGTAGAGTGTTAGATGACTTATAAAGTATAACATGCCCATATGCCACACAAGACTTAGTTAGGATGAGCTGTGAGGTTGGAGTTGATGGTCTTAAACCTTCAATTAGAGTTTCTGGAGACAGTGTATCAAGGTTATAGAGTCCTTGTAGGGGCTGTGTGGGTTTTTTCTTCACTCCTCACTCTACAGATCACCGAGGAACCTCACGAAAACGTCTCTAACCCTTGGAGTAGAGGTAAAGGTGCGTCTTGCGCCCCCAGACCTTCCTCTTGGGTGGTATATATTGGGTTGAATGATGCGTTTCATGAGACAGATTCTTTTGACACCAAAGGCCAGTGTCATGATATGACACCAATCCATTTTTGAGAGACTCGTGGTGCTCCGTTCGACCTCAAAGTGGTTCCCCACCCCCACCCCCCTCCCTTGCCCCAAACAAACAAACTCCCCCTAGCATGTCCCCTACCCTGAGTGACAACCCCACTGTAAAGTATTTGATAATGGATTGACACCAATAGGGGGGGTGGGGGTAGGGGAGGCTAGGGCAAGGGGCGACTGGGGTGTTAGGGAGTAGGAACCGCTTTGGGGCCAAAATGAGTACCGTAAGGCCCTCAAATGGACCTAGTCTCATATTATGATGTCAGTTGAACCCTGGTATAGGTTTTCATATATCTAAATATGAGGAGGCAAGGAAGGTATTGGGCTAGAAGCAAAATGGTGAAGGAGAGGTGTTGGATATGTGCATATTTACTGCATGGTTTTTGAATGATTTTCAGAGTTGATGGTCATTTGTTCCTCAGAAGTTCCATCATGATACTATGTTACTACGATAAAGGATGGTTAAAATAATGTAGAGTAGTCAATGTACACAAAACTAAAAAAGAAGATATCCAATTTTTAAATTTCCAGTCAATTGTCCCATCCAAAAAAAAACACTTGTTTGGCCATTGTACAACTTTTACATTTTCGCTAGTAAAAGTCCTGAATCATTACTCCAATATAAAACTTTTGATGTATTTTTGATTTACTTAAAATTGTCATCTTCAACTAGTTCCACCCATCTTTTAGAAAAAATGATAGGAAAAACAGCTTCGTTTGTTGAAACAGTGTTCTCTTTATGGACAAAAAATAATGTTTTTGAAACATTACTTTCTTTTTCGGATGAAAGAATAATTCTTTCATTTTTGACCATCTGCATTCATTTGATTTTAATGAACAAATGAATATATTTTATTTGTAAATGGAGCCTGTTACGGAGATCCTTGCATAGCTCCTAGGATTGCATGATTGTGCCATCCATGCAAGCCTTAGCTATTTAACTCGATAAAAGATCGAGGGATGAAGAGAAAATTTTTCAATTGCAAAACTTCACACCCAAAAAAAATGTTTAACACTATGTTTGGTTTGTGGAATTTGAAAGGAAAAGAAGTTCTCTCCTTTTCCTCACCAAATCAGAAGGAAAAATCATTTTGCTTCTTCTTGGTGCATTTTCTTCTCCGTTTTCTTTTCCTATCACTTTTCATTTCTTTTCCTCTCTAACCAAACAAGAGAAGTTGTTTTGTCTCTCATTTTATTCTTTTCCATTTCAAATTTCTTGAACTAAACATAGTGTAAAGCAAAAGACTGAAGTACTCTTGCCGTCCCACCAAAAAACTGTTTAAAGAATAGTAAGACTGGACATGAGCAACACAAATCTTACTAAATATAGTATGAGACAAAATAAGTGGGACATACATAAAAGGTAAAAAGGACAAAAATAGTGAGACACCGAAACAGAGGAAGTATACAAAAGTTTTTTTTATATAAACAAATTATACAGTAGTTATTATAGTAAATAAAAGATTGAACAATAAGAAGAAAGATACAAGAGGATATGATTACATCAAGGATCTGATTTCAAGAATCGTCATGCAGGCATGCAAATGTACCAATATGCAACCATAACAACAACATACCCAATAAAATCCCACAGGTAGGGCCTGACGGCCTGTGGAAGGTGTGTGGGTGCACTATGCAGACCTTACCCCTACTTGGTAGTAGAGAGGTTGTTTCCGGGAGACCCCCGCTCAAACACAGAAGCACACACAGACAATGTACCAATATCTTAGTTTCAAATTTAACATGTTATCAGAGTCTGGTTCGACGGTGGTTTGTGGGGTGCTCCTAGAGTCCTAGGTCTGGGCTCATTTGTCCATCCCTTTGTTTCCATTCCAGTTTGGGTTAAGGGGATAGGCTGAGCATCCCATGTTGGTTATCCACGAGGCATGATTCTTGTATATAAGTGTGGTAAGCCTTTTATGGTGAAGATCTTTTTGATGTGTGTTGAGACAAGTTAAAATGATTTAATGTAGTGTTTGGAAACTTGGAATTCATTTGAATTTTTCAATGCTAAAATTTGGATTCTTGGATTTGAAATTACAAGGGGAGTGTATAGATTTGCTGTTGGGCTTTGTTGAAAATTAGAAGAATTTGGCCGAAGTCCACATCCAATTTTTTTGGATTCCTGAACACTAATTTGGAACAAATCTGAAGTTCAAATCCAAAGTTAAGTTCTCAAACAGGCCATTGAAGAATTTTGAGGCTTTCCCTATCAGGTTGAAATCAAAATGGCTCTTTTATTTGTGAATAGCTTATTAAAAACCCAAAAACGAAAAGAAAACAAAACACACACACACACCACCCAACTGAACACAAAGACAATCTGAATGTACAGTAACATACCTGCAGAACCATGTATCCTGACAGGGCGTTGTTTAGGAAACTTCCCTCGGAGTTCCGCAGCAACCAAATTAGACAATAGAAGTGCAGCACACAGAGCCCCTACTGTAAGCATTATAAAAACAGCATCCCACCCTTTGGTTGAGAGGAACCCTGTCAGAAGAGGGCCAAGGGCTGCCCCAAGAGAGCCAGTCCCATCAATTATTGCAGTTACAGTGGCAAGTGCTCGAGAATCTCCCCTCAGAGATCTGTGTGTACCAAGATCTGCAGATACTGCAGTGGTAATAAGCGCATAGGGTCCATTCACGAACAAGCCCGCCAAAAACATGAGGAGAATGTTAAGGGTCTTAGATACACCTCCAAATGTGCGATACAAAAGCATCGCGGGGATTGCTGCGTACATGAAGGTGGCTGCTGTCGTTGCACGGGCATCAAACCAGTCAGACAATAAGCCAGCTAGAATTCCTCCAATGATGCCCCCAACATCAAAAAGAGTTGACAGATTTCCCGCAGACTTAACTGACACATACTCTCCTCCTATGGCTGTGAAAAGATTCATAAGAAAAACTGGGTAAGGAACCAGAAAGAGATAAATGTAGATGAAAGAACAATTTAAGGCCGTGTGGCAACCACCTGTTAGCTGTTATTGTTTCAATTGTTTAGAAGGTTGTTTCAAAAAACATGCAAAACAAAAGCAGCATTTCCAGAAAACTATGAACATCGCTCCAAAAAGTTTGAAAAACAAGCTTTTTGGAATAAAAAAGCTCTTTTCCAAACACTTCTCATAGAAGCCATTTAACCCAAAAAACTTGTTTTTCACACACACAAAATTTCGCCCCAAAAAAACTCTTTCCCAAACATACCCTCTACCTAGTGTCTAAACTACTCTATCACTGTTAAATGCTATACTAAAATGGAAGACTACCTTCTTGATTTATACGAGAAATTAAATTTCAAACAGTTAAAAGTTAAAAATAAGTTATCAAGCAAGATATAGAACCAATAAATAGGATACGCACTTAGAGCCTGTTTGCATAACTTAAGGTATAAGTGTTTTTATCTTAAGTGCTTTTTACTTCAGCACAGTGTTTTGCTGAAAAAAGATAGATTTGCTGCTATCTTAAATAAGAATTAGAAGTACATTTTTACTGTCAAAAGTACTTCCATTTTCCTTCCAAATGCTCTTAAAAATGTTTCACCCAAGTACTCTCTAAGAAATATTGAAAAAATTGGCCATTTAGAGCCAACCACATCCATTTATTTGAATGGATAACCACTCCCTTTATCCGTTGAACTGAACTAATCTATGTCTTTTATGCTTGAGTCGGTGGTCTTTTAAAAATAGTCTCTCTAGGTTTTCTTGGTAGGACTGAGGTTTGCGAACACACCCACCTCCCACAAAGGCAAAAACCCCATCCGTGGGATTTTTCTGGGTTGGTTGTTGGTATTTGTAATGTCCATAATAAAATAGAGACATTATTTAGGGATCTCTGAAACCTTGAGCAGTTGGACTTAAGCAAATAAAAAGTATTAGGCCACCAAGAAACCCCTTGAGGCAAAATCTGAGGATTTAAATGCACGTTTGCTTTAAAAGATTCTTACTCGTGTGATTCGTGTCTCGTGATATGTAATCCACCCTCATATCCAAGATTTTGAAAAGCAAAATGGTACGCCTCTGCCCTCAAGGCATACACCTCAAATTAGTACAATAATAATATTCCCTCCGTCCCAAATTAAATTACAATTTTCTCATTACGAAGTAAAACCCTGTTTTTTTAAATCATTTTATTTAAAAATTGGTATAAGAATAAAAAACAAAACTTACATATTAAAAAACTACGTCAAAAGTTCTACAAAACAAGATGTGACATGAGTATTTTATTTTATCAAATAATCAATGAAAACACACAACTAAACAATAGTTATAAAGAAATGAGAGAAAGAAATTGTAATCAATTTTGGGTCAAAGGGAGTAGTATTAATTATTATTATTATTATTGTTACTATTATTATTACCATCATCATCATCATGATTCATCATCATCATGATTCATCATCATCATGATGATAATAATAATATTAGTACGGTAAAATAAATAATTCAAAATGAGTGCTCAATGACATAAAAACTTACATGTTGAAATAAGAATACACATGGTGTTGTACTAAACGGACAAAACAGAAAGTTAATACGAGTGGATAAAATATGCATGCCAAAGTTCCAAACCTTAATACAAATATAGAACACGCAAGACTTGTTTTTGAGTTCCTAAATACTACTACCTCCGTCCCAAAAAGATTTACACATTTTGACTAAAGTTGAAATTAAAAGAGGGACAATTTTGTGTTGACTTTCCAAAAATACTCTTGATGTGATGGGTAAAAGTAGGATGTGATGTGTAGATTATTAGGAAAAAGGTATGATGTGGTAGGTAGGGTTTGAAAAAGTAAGGGGTAAAAGTGGTTTTTTAATAGAAATGGGTAGGAGATTGTGGGACGCAATTTTTTTGAAAGGTGTAAATCTTTTTGGGACGGAGGGAGTAATACTCAAAAGTAATATCATCATCCAATGCACTATTATCAAAATTTGTAACTTCATCCTCATTTCCATCTCATTTTATATCATAAGCCTCATTATCATCATATATACCGGGTACAACTTAACAAGTTGCTTAGAAAGGGTAGATGAATTTAAATAATGGTTTGCAAAACATATCCCTTATAGTTGTGTTCAAGGAAAAATTGGGAGATGTCTATTGGTTGTGATGGATAAAAAAAGTGGGGTAAGGTTTAAAAGGGGGTGGGAAGTATTATTTCCACCAATGGAATTCCATAAACACAGCCCTAAGGCCTAAGGGCCATGTAGATTTAAGGGTAGTGTTTAGCACTTCAATGATTGAAAGCATTGATCAACAGCCACGTAGTATAAAGTATGAACACCCTTTGACATTTGTTCGAATTCACAAGACACCCAATAAAAAATGCAATTTGGATTGAAGGACTTAACTTAGTAAAGGAAATGAAGGGGTAGGATTACAAAGGAGGGGATATTATCAAACTTCATTTGGATTGGATTGGTTTAGTGTACAATAGAAGGGGAGAGGAATGGAAAGAATTCAGATTTCAGAACTTGCCTCATGAGAACTTCATTCAAGAACTAATCTGAATTGAATGTGGAATAAAACAAAAGTGTGCTTAGATACGAAAAAGAGTGCTTTAGTGAAATATTTAATACTCCGTACTATTTATTGATGCCGATTGATAGCACTAAAGCAACCCCACAAAGTAATAAACAACAATAAAAATATTGTAGGTAAATAAATTCATATAATCTTCTAGCTTTCTCCCTAAATACTATCTTCCACAAAAAATATAAATATGTGATGGCAGGTGAATGATCCTTGAACTCGCAATATAAACATTAGTTAGGAGGTTACCAGTTTGGCTGAGATAAAATGGCAACCAGTACAAAAAGGTGTATGCCACCAATTTTGAGAAAAAAAGGCATAGAGCAAACGGAATTACTCCAGGTATAGTACTAGCACCAAGAAGGCCAATACTTCTCCTCTCTACAGAACTATATCGAGCCAAACTTTCATCTCCTACTGTACTTTCATTCCCTGTCTGATCTTCTTCGTCACTGTTTGCTGTCACAACACCATTTGGGCAAGGAAATCCAACATCTTCTGGATAAGCGGGCAAGAAGAAGTATACCATAATCCCTGCCAGAAATATAAAAGCTCCCGGAAGAATAAAAGACCAGCCCCATCCATAGTATAAAACACTAGCTGCAAGAAGAGATCCGCTGATATTCCCCACAGATGTATGAGCATTCCACACGCCCATGATTAAACCCCTCTTCCTCTTGTCAAACCAATTCCCAATAACAGCCACAACTGAAGGCCACCCTGTGGCCTGGAACAACCCAGCAATCATTTGCATAGCCAAATAAAACCAAAATTCATGGATGTTCCAAAAGTACCCCATGCCGGAAAGGCCAACGAAAATGCCACTCCCAATCATCCCAGATGTCAGGAACAACCGAAGGTCCAAGGAATCTCCTAAATGTCCTGCCACATACATTCCCATCGAATAACAAGCGAGAAAAGCAACATCAATCTCCCCCAACTTTTTTGTCCCATCCTTCCCATTAAAGGGTTCCCACCCTTTTCCCTTTGATTTTTCCAATCCATCAACAAATTCCCTCCTAACAAAAAGATCACCCATCGGCCACAAACCAGATAGCGAGGTGACATTGGCATTCGACTGCGGGTCCAAAACACTCTTAACTATGCTACTGGGCTTCCGCGAAGCATGATACGAAGTATAGGCTACAAATGTAACAAACAAAACTACATATCTATACGTCTTAAAGCTCCAATCTTTTCCCCTGATTCTTCTTATCAGAGAAATCCCGGGCGGGTTCCCCCTCTCTAACCATCCAGATTCTCTAGGCATTGCTTTATAAAACTCAAACGAAATTTGACCTAAGAAGAGAGCCAGCCATCATCGCAATCCAAATGAAGAAAATCAAAAATTACCGCAAGGTGCATGATTGCAGAGATGACGCCGCATTGAACGCCGGATAATTTTCTAGGTTTCGCCGTCGCCGTCTGGCCGGAAAGTGAGAGCATACAAAGCGGTTGCAAAGAAAATGATGATTATTACGATGATTATTATGGATCAGAAGATGTTGAGAGAGGGAGAAGGGGCGTGCAGCGAGGTTGGCGGAAGAGAGGGATTATGTGCACGAAGAAAGAATGACACGTGGCGATGCCATCGCCTGGCAAAGCTTGCCACAGATGCCGAAGACAAAAGCCTGCAAACTCCGGAGCAGGGGTGGATCCGGGCCTATTCCGGTCCGGTTCTTCTCGGCCCTAGGAGGGGTAGATACTGGTGCCCTTGGGCTAAGCTAGAAAACGGTTCGGCACGGTTTTAGTTTATAAATCATGTCATTAAAAAAGGGATTGGTACCATATCATATTAATTTCGACCCCTACCATAATATTTCGATTTTTTAAAAATATTTTTATTCATAAAAACCAACTAACGTAATAAAACAAAATGGTGCACCATAAATTTTGTGCATTCTTACTCAGCAAGTGTACAATTTTTGACAAAACATAATTGTAGTTTGATGTTTTAACAATTTTAATTTTAGTTGTACTAAGGTATTTAGAGCACTATAAAAGCATAAATTTAAGTATGTTAAATTCACTTCAAATAAACTTGACTTAATGTTTCTAAAAAATAACGGAACAAATGAAAATACATAATTAATTTATTAATTTAACATTTTAGTGGTTTCGATTTGGTATTCTTGGTTTTTATTTTTTAGAAACCCGTCTCGTACCATTTTAAAAATTGTTCATATCGTGATATAATTTATTATAATCATTTAAAAACCACTTTTTGGTTCTGTACAATATTGATCCGGTTTAAAACAATATCGGACTGGTAATTTTACCCACCCCTAGTCCAAAGTACCAATCCGGTGGTAGATTACTTTCATTATTTTTACATTTATTTTTCCATTTTCCATCTAGTGTTCCCCTTTTCTTTTGAAATTTTAACGATAAAAAAAGTAACAAATCGACTAGTTTCGGCACCAAATCCCGACGACCAAAACCACCACCGCCTTCACTGGTCATGGCCCGGTTCCTTAGACCTGACCTTACTAGTTTGGTTTCAGCTCCGGCTTTGGATAACCATTTCAAGTTCTAGAGGGTGGGTGAATAGTGAGACACGAGAATGTTTATAAATTTTTACGGAATAAAAATCGTAAGGAAAGAACACACCAAATTTACCCTGGTTCACCACAACGTGTGGCTAGTCCAGCCTCCCGAGAGACTCTCTCGAGCTACACTACTTCCGTTAAGCTTACGGGTGCTTAACAAACCGCTACAACCTGAGAACTCGAGTCCTACGAGCCTCAACAACACTTGGTTGGAGATACCGCACTCCAAGACTTCAACCCGAAGGAAAATACCTTTCCTTCGTACAACCAAGGGAACAAACCTCCCTTAAAGTGTTCACAACACTTAACCACTCAAGAACAAAAACTCTCTTAAGGAGTAGAATATGAGTAAACTAATTTAGATCAAGAACACACTCAATTCCTCAAGAAATGGCTCTAAAAAGCTATGTAAAAAGTTTATGAAATGATGCAATGTAAAACTATGAAATGTGTGAGGAATGGTTGTGAAAAGTAGACCCAAAAGACCCTTATTTATACCCAAAATGATGTGTAACAGATGGGAGTTGATTTTGGTTTAATGGCATGATTTTTGGAAATTAAATAAAAGTGGATCTGTAGGAAATTAGTCTACCCAGCGATGTATGGAACTACCCATCGCTGGTAAGCCATTTTTCCTTCAGTTTTAAAGACAACGGTCACCTACGCATGGATGGGTAAGAGCTTCTCATCGCTGGGTAGGAGGTTGACTTTCAAACAAGAAAAGAATCAGCCTTAAATTCCTTACAACGGTCATGCCTTCCCATGGATAGGTAATATCCTCCCATGGCTGGGAAGTCACTTACCCATGGATGGGTAATATCTCCCATCGCTGGGTGGCATGGTTCTGGAATCCCGGATCACTTACCCATGGATGGGTAATATCTCCCATCGCTGGGTGGCATGGTTCTGGAATCCCGAGATCACTTACCCATGGATGTGTGATATCTACCATCGCTGGGTAGATGGCTAGTCCAAGACCATGGCCTAGCCGACCGGCGCTGAAACCCGACTGAAAAATGCAAAGTTCTCCAAAGTAAAAACTAAGTGTTTAAAACACTTATTTAATGTATTTTATGTAGAAACCAAGTATAAAAACTTAAAAACCACTTCATTAAGGTAAAAACCACGGCTAGCCAAGTTTATGCCGTTTCGCATGGTTTTTGCCGAACGACCAAAAACGAGAGGTAGTTTTTGAAGTGTTTTTATTGGAGAACCATTTGGATATGTCCAGAAGTAAAAACCAATCATAAAATATTAAAAACAACTTGATTGATTTGGACGCCAAAAACCAATGCCGATAACTAGCGCCGAATGCCGATAACCAACACCGAAAAAACAAAGGTTATGGTTTTTGAAAACTAATGATTTGGAAAACCTTTTAATGTGTCTAGAAGCATAAAACAAAGAAAAAACCCAAAAACCATTTGGTTAAAATCAATGCCAATAACCAATGCCGAAAACCGAACGCCATAGCCGAATGTCGATAATCGATGGTTATGCTTTTGGTTAAGCAAGAACCATGGGTTTTAGAAACTTAAAAAACATTTATGAAAACACTCATTTGATGCATGAAAAACATATTTTTTTGAGCCATGACGTAGAGAAATTGAATGAGCTTGTTACAATAAAAACCTAAGTCTTTAGAAAACGTCATCAAAGCGCCAATGTCGACATCTTTAGCAACGACAATGCCTTTACTGTGCTTTTTGTTTCTTCAAAGAACTTTTTCTATCTCTTTGAATTTTTTCATTTTGTTCCATGTTCCCGACGGTTTGTCAATATCCAAACCTAAATGGAAACAAACATTGTCATTAGCAAAATGTAAAAGTGAAAATGTTTTCTAACAACCGTGTCTAGAAGAGCAAAACAACCGAACTTGCATGGTACCACATCGGACTGTAATGGTACCAAATCATTCATCATGTTTAAACGAGGTTTATTTTTCATCCCATACCAAATCTGAAATAATTTCAAATGGGACGAGACAAGGATACAAAATATAATGTCAAGTCTGGACATCTTCGTCGCAACCACAATAACATTAAACAACTTCTCACAACTAGGATTATCACTATTGACTTATTTATAGTCAAGTGATAATGCAGAGGACACGCCAACCAGAGAATAAACAAATGAGTTGCACGAGAAGTTGATATCACAATTAAGCATTAAGCCTAATACCCTTGTGCTAATAAAAACACCCTATGAAGAAAAATTCAACTTGGTGGTACTCAAGTTCAATAGAAAACCCTTTTTATTTCATGAAGTGCGACCACTGTGAGGCTGGTGCCCGTATTTTAGCATGTCCTTTATGTTCATATTTAAGATAGTGGCTCCAAAGAGTTATGAGGGTAGCATATGTTATATGTTTTAGTTATTCTCAAACATTAGATGTGTCGATCTAACTGTAGGATTCACGATACTTTTAGAATAACTACTTATATAAGAGTTGGCAGAAATATAAGATCAGAAGAGCATTTTGTTATAAATTGTGTTTGTTATACTTTCATATACACAAATGACAATACATTTTAATTGCATCACGTTATACTCAATAGCCAAAAAAGGTATACCTTACCAAGGATGTATTAAGAGATGGAGGGCATTTTTGATCCCTAAAAAAATCCATTGATATAGGGCATTTTTGGAAAATTTGGATTAAATAATCTCTTAACAATCATTTCTGGCTCAATGGAGTCCAAAAATAGTTTTTGTTAGACAATAATAATGATTAGACTTGAGTACAGTAGTCTTTGTGTTTTAGTCAGCTTCTATTATTATTACTCCATCCGTTCCATAAAACCCTTCCTCTTTCATTTTTTTAATTCCCTAAAACACTTCCATTTTCTATTAAAAAACCACTTTCACCCTTACTTTTTCATACCCTACCTATCAGATCATACTTTTTCACTAATAACCAAACTATCACATCTTACTTTTACCTATCACATCAGGGGCAAAATTGGAAAGTCAACCAAAATTACACTTTCCTTATTTTTGCCCAAAGTCAAAAGTGGAAGGGTTTAAAGGAACTAAGGGAGTATTATTCTATCTTCTTATTCCTGGTTGTGCTTGTAATCTCTCTTGTAAATACTTTATTGTATACTTCATTATTCTTTGAGTAACACAACTATTCCAATATTTTATCATGATATCGGGGCACAATGTTTTCCCAAACCACAACCGTCGACGTCTATTCTTCATATGGCTTCACTGCCGACTCTCTTTGTTCCTGCATAATTGTCAGTCTTCTCTTCAGCAATCACCCATTGTCGACCATGACAAAAAATGGATGAGATATGTTTGATGATATCCCTGGTGGGTTGCGGCTCTTCCTCCGCAATCTTCATTCTCTGGTACCCACAAAACTAGATGATAATAATTATCCCTTCTGGTCCTCTACAGTCAAAGCCACTCTCCTTGCTCATCGTCTCTTTGAATATGTCGATGGCAGGCGTCATGGCACCATCCCTGAATCACCTCCAACTATTCTTGATGAAAAAACACTAGTTAGTGCAGATAAAGAACTGGTTGTCAAGTTCAATCTGGCCTATGATCAATGGGGCATAGCAGTGTTGGAATCGTTACAATAAGGAATTCAATGGACCCCCTCAAACTAATACTACTCAAGCCTTGTATACTGTGTGCTCTACATAATCTAATCATAAGTAGCAATTAGACTCAAGGGGAAGTACTCATCTTGTGTTTGACTTTTCAAGGTTGAATAACCCAAATCCATATCATGGCCAAAATTTTGTTTTTAGTGTTGGAGGACAGCCTGTCCCAATCTCTCGTGTTCGCTCGATTAGGTTAATACACTCATAGGTACCTTCACTATTTCTAACCTTCTCCATGTTCCCAGCTTAAAACTTCATATCCTATATATTCACAAATTTACTACAGAAAATATGTAACACCCAAAACATACCCTAGAATTTAATAAAAAAGCGTATGTACGGGATTCCGCGACCTAACTCGGCACCTCTATGGTAGGGGCTCCAACCTGCCCACTTGGACACCTTCCATTAGGTTACAAGCATGGGCTCTTGGCACCTCCAAGAGTGTCCATGGTTAGTGTGGATAATTAAACTTTAGCCATATGGGTTAAGTATGGTAAGATTATGCAATGATCTAAACTAAATGAACGAATGATTGATCACAATGTTGGATAATTA